ATGAGGGAAACTGGAAAAAAGGTGGGCTCCAAGCCCCTCCCACATAAAGCAGCAAAGCTAGGCCGCAGCAGAGCCACCCCTCCCTTTGTGTTTGTGTGAGACAGGCCTGGTTGAAACCCCATATTTTCCAACACACAACTCCATCAGTTATCTCCAAGATAGGTAAATCATATAGTAATAAATACTGGAAATACCATGAAACAGAAAGAACATTTTTACATGTGGTGGACATGTAAAAAAACTCAAAAGTACTGGAAAGATATACATAGTACAATGCAGAGAAGTTTGGAAATTAAATTTGAAATGAAATCAGAACTTTTTTTTACTAGGTATAATCCCAGAATATATCAATAACAAATATCATAATTTACTTAGATACATGCTCACAGCAGCAAGAATAAATTTTGCTCAACATTGGAAGAAAAATACAATTCAGATGATATCTGATTGGGAACTTAAACTTGGCAAATAGGCAGCAATGGCAAAATTAACACAATATATACACAACAGAAAGAAAGTAAGAGCCAGTTAATCCCTGCTTGGTTTTAATTAGGAAATCACAAGACTAATTATGTACTGTAATCTTGGTCTATCATTTCACGAATAATATGGAATATATGGAATAATGCCAATCTTTGCTGTCAACACTCTGATGCAGAAATCATGTTTGGTTCTTCTTCTTCCTAGAACCACATAAGAAAGAAAAGCCAATAAGTATATTCATTTTTTTTCTTTACTCCCCCAAAATATGATATTGGATATGGATATGGATTACACATGTTCAACATGTAGAATAACTGAAATCCTTATCTCTTCTGGTTTTAGCCAAAGTGCCAAAGAAAGATGTCCATGTAAAGGAATCTGGTAAGTCTGGGATAAAAACTTATCTCAGAAATGGCACTGTCCCCTTTGAACACTTAGTATAAATTAACACAATACTATGGAAATGGATGTTCCACATCACAAGTGACTAACTAGTGAAATAAAACATAAAAGTTGAATAATAGACTACATTTTTGTGGGTTACCTCGGCCTCATCTGCAGAGTCCTCTTGCCCTGACTCCAAGACGGTCTGGTTCCCTTTCTTGAGATGTCCTCACATCGCACCTTGATATTGGGGCCAGATTGTGGGTGACCCAGCAGAAAGTGCTATTTCCCACCAAAACATGGATGAAAATGTACAT